CGGGCACCATCTAGTTCTTCTGGTCTTAAAGGACATTGTGTCCTAGGACTGATTGCTTCCAAATGCCCTTGTTTTTTTTTTTGCACTCTTCTTCGCTTCCAAAGATAGGAGGCCATTAGCTGCATCTCAGATGGCCGCTTGAAAGCTTTTAAGACCCCAGTCGCTACTCACCAATGTAGGATGTGGAACAAGACTTTTATGTATTTTGTTGTGCCAATTGAACCGATATTCCCCAATACTATGGTCCTGAGTCGGTAGATCCGTTGGATCTCTCTCCCACAGTATCTGGCTGTCTATGAGGGATTACTCTATGTCTGTCTTCTGTTGTTTTTCATACTACATTTCTCATACTATAATCCTTTAAAAAACAAAAACACATTCACTATTAGACCTAAATACACATCCTTGTATTCTCAGTGGTGTAAGTTTTACCTTCTAGTCAACTTTCCTCTGACATTTTACAACTTACCATATACCCTGAAGTTCAGCTTTTATTATCTTTCATATTCTGGCATAATCAGACATTCTAATTTAAGATGAAACAACTCTCTTAAAAAATTCAATCTTCTTTCCTTAACCTTTTGGGGGAAAATCTTACATTCTGCAAATCCTTATTCTGTCAAAAAGTCATAAAAACTTCCACATACATTCTTATCCATTTTCTCATCTCATTTTCCTTCTTGTGTACAAAACAAATTGAGTTGTAAGATTGTATTATAATTCAATGAGCCATTCTTGGGCCATTGTTTATCTCCCAGATCACACTGAGGCCAAGCAGTATTACACAGAAACTTCGTTCTGGATTTTTTTCCATAGGATCAGATCCAAAATGAGACCAATTTTTCAAAATACTCACTGTAGTAAGGAACTGCAATCTAGAATTCAGCTAGTCTGACTATCCATTTTCCTTCCACAAAGGAACCTACATTTTGTCAACACCAAATGAGCTTCACAGGCTATATGTTTTCTGGTCTCAGTTAATCATCCTTTTGTCAAACCTGTAAGGACCTTACCATTCACACAGGGAGTTCCTAACTCCCCCTTCTCAGGGCACTCACCACTAAGTTTTGTTCAAACTCTTCCCTGATAGCATCACCAATGAATCCAAAGACAGTACACAAGCTGAGACAGAGAGGGGAATTCTGTCAGATTCAATCTGTCTCTAGGTGCTTTCTAAGTTTCTTTTATAGGATGAGGATTACATCAGAATCATATTATACATAAAATATCAAAAAAGTACAGATTAATACTTGGAGGGGGATCTGTGTAGGGGATCCTGGATAGAGTG